TTCCCACTCTCAGCATTGCACTGGTCCTTCATCACCGCAAGACCCCCAACCCTCCTCCATTTTGCTGCTGGATCTTCCCCACCCTCGTTGGATAAAGTTAAAACTTTCAGGCTTTGTAGTGATACATGCGTTCATAATTCAGAAGTACATTTAAAAAAAAAAAAACAAAACAAAAAAAAAAAAATACATTTTTTGTATTAGAAATGGAGCCAGACAGTCCTTAGCTATTCTGGGGTGGGAGTTTGAAGAAGAGGGCCCCCCCTCCCCGCGGTCCGACTGTTATTCAGAGTTAGGAATTAAAGATGGATGGGGTTAGTTACTGCAGCAGGCCGCCTTGCTGGGCTGAGCCGTCTCAGTCAAGTCCACCCCCCGGTTCCGCCCGCTGTTTGCCCCCGCCGCCTGCGGTTCATTCTTGGGCAACCTCTTTGCTGCAGGACAAATGGGAAAAACAGAGGAAAAAAAACAAAACACATATTATATATATATATAAAAATCAATCATACCAACCTATAATTTGCAACCAAAAATTAAAGACTTTTTCTCTATTAAAAAACTTAACTGACGCTCATCTAAAATTCCTGAAACTACATACGTTTTTAAGGATTAAAAGCTTTTTCTGAAACATACAGACATCGAACGGGATCAGGGCACACAAAGCCATGTGGAACTCTCCAGAAAATCCCGCAATCAGAACTCAGACGCTCTGACGGAGGCAGGAAGTGAAGGCCATGCAGTGACACACCCTTTCGTCTCTCGCACGGCAAACCTGTTGCACAGGCACCCACTTCGCACATCCCCATGTAACACCCGCCCAGTCAATGGACACACACAAAACACTAGCGGAAATTTAAAGGGCCAGTCCACCTTTAAAAAAAATTAAAAAATTTAAAAAAATGAACGATTCAAACTACAGCCTCTTTCTGAGTGTCCCTTTGCTGTCCGTTTAGATAACTCACTACCGCCATACAACATACCGATTGCCATGAATATTTCATTCACGTTCATCGAGGTTTTCGCAGATGTTTCCATGAACAGCAAACTGTTGTCATCAGCATATGACTGTGCATCCTGAAAGAGGACATTTTATTTTCAGTTCTAATATTGACTTATTTCGATAGAGAGAGCAGGCCTGGCCAAAGAAAAGTTTTACACGATATATGGTATGTTATGCAGGCACACACCCATTTCATGGCTGGATCTAAGAGGCGGCTGAGGGGGCGGTGCCCTTTTTTCCCAATCATGATTGGCCAGTTTGTTAAACTATGACAATGCACTTCCCATAAATCAAATATGCTGATGTCCAATCAAAATCTAAATTTCTATCCCCCTGTCAAAGACCAGGCCTGATATTTTTTATTTCAATTTTTATTATGTATTCACACATACAAAAAAAAAACAACACACACACACACACCAGTTAAACTATACATGCAGCTGTACATCCAAAGAGAATCCAGCATAAAGAACAAACCTGAAAGTCCACGGCCCTCTTGTTCGCAAGGTCAGCCTTGTTGCCAGACAAAGCTATTACGATATTAGGGCTCGCTTGTCTCTGAAGCTCTTTCACCCAGTTTTTCGCTCTGGCAAAAGACTCCTGGAAATAAGGGAACAGCGCAGCTTTACAAACATCTGCAGTCACACAGAGGTCGAGTCGGAGATGAATGTTCCTGCCTACAGAGGGAACACCAGAGAGAGAATGCCCTCTGACTGCAGAATGTGTACCGGCTCACGCTGCATAACCAGCACTGAATAAAGACTCATATTTCTATACACAACATTTATTAACAAACACAAAGCTACCACTGTATGATTCTGGCAATGTCAGTCAGGGTTTATTCTGCTTTGGGTTTATCACCTGGATGGCCAATTGTCTTGCCTGCTAAAGTTGACTAGCTAAGGATGGTTCATGGGGACATGGATAACTGTGTAACTGAAACACCCCCCAAAAACACCACCATGATTTTATTTAAATGGCAACACAAAACAACTGGGTGACCTGTAGCTGTGTAACAACCTGGGGGGTATTAATGGTCTCCAGGCCTCTGAAACTCACCTCATTCGTTATGTCGTAGACCACGATGGCTGCCTGCGCGCCTCTGTAGTACATAGGGGCCAGGCTGTGGTAGCGCTCCTGTCCGGCTGTGTCCCAGATCTCAAACTTCACCGTTGTATCATCCAGGCACACCGTCTGGGTCAAGAAGGCCGCTGGAGTGGAGAAGAACAGCCATCAGGCTGCCCATTCTGGACACCGGCACGCAACCACAAGAAACTTAGAAAAGCTTCAAACGGGGCAAACCGTATAATGACCCGGAAGGTTGTGGGATCAAACACCGGGCCGCTAATCTTTTGATAGACAAAATGATTAAACTGAAACGTTCTTGTAACAAAACTGGTTATGATGTCTGTGCTTCTCCACCTGCAAAACTATAAGTCAGATGTTAATGCTGGAGACAGATGTGCACTAGAGAAAGTGCTCTTCATCATCATCAACCACCAGCACCATAAGAGAAAGGTCCCTCACCTCCTATCGTGCTCTCCTGGAACTCATGGAACTGGCCCTTGACGAATCGCAACACGAGGCTCGACTTCCCCACTGCCGATTCGCCCAACAGCACGAGCTTGAACTGGCAGATCTTGTTGCCAGCGTTTGGTCCGTTGGGCCTGGTAGCTCCCCCACGACTTGCCATGACCTAAAGCCGCAGTCTCCCGCTTATGGACTCGGAAAGCGCTGTCCTCCTCGACGGGGTCACTCCCTGAGTGACGTTGGGGGAAATAATCACAGAGCTCATTGAAAACGGGGAAGTGAAATGAAGTCGTTTTACATACTGGTTAATCACAGCTTACAAGCTTCAGCCTTGGGGGGGAAGAAATCTGGGTTAGCACTGACAAGGAGATGTGCAAAATCCCTGCTTTGTACATAAGTTCAAGCCAGAATCAATGGAGCCAGGCTGACTGACAGCCCAAGAACAAATGTGTCCTTCACGGAGCCCAGGAACATTCCAACAAAATCATAATGCAGCAAGACAACATCGATCAATCTGAAACAAAAAAAACATGTCTATAAAAGAATAGCTGTGAGGACCACACAAATCTAAACGGGCATGTCTATCTGAATTTTAATTGTCATCTACTCAGTGACTATATATCCTACAATCTTACAGGGGGTCAGCAAAATCATCAACAGTAAACCTTCATCCTCTTAAGCTATATTGTCGATATATAAATCTAGTAAATCAGTTTTGTACGATTATCAAACTACAATACGGTTTCAAATTAAGTCAAGCCTATCCAAAATGTACTCAGCTGTTCGATTTGCGGAATGGGAAGCTGCGAGGTTTGCAAATGTTGTATCGAAAACACGGCATATTTTTTTCAATGTGCATTATTCAGTGTGCTTTTCAGATGGTGACATTGTGCAAAATACAAGGATCAAATAAATATTGCAATAAGTTATGGTGAAACCTCACATTTCACGGATCACTAGAAAGTCCGGCATATGTGCCTTGCTTCTCGATTTTAGGGAACGTTACCACCAGATCTGTAATTATGTACTTCTGCAAAAGCTACTAACAGCAGCTACCGAACGTCGCGCAGATGAAGTCCGACCCATATCAGCTGTCACAAGACATTATTCCGGGCGACACCGGTATGTTTAACGTCAAACAGAGCAAGGAAGAGCCTTTGTCAATATGCTACTTAATCTGAGATCCGGCCTTATAGTCACGCCGACAGTCTCTCCAGTAAAACCCGGCATTTCAGCTCGTCTTGAGGGATTTGGGGTACATTCCGTCCAGGGCATTCATACACAAATTAAGTCAACTAACGTCCATTTGCAACCATCTGTACAATGGCTACTTGAGCAGAACCTCTCCGTTCCCGTTTATTATATGTTGCATACAAATCATCAGTAGAGCACATATCACAAATACATCTTGATAAAGAAATATGACACACGTTACGGAAAACAAACACCAAAAAGGCCGAACAAATTAACGGCAGATTGTGAAAAAAAATACATTCGCATGGTAAAACAGCTTGACAACTTGGCTATCGATTGACTCGAAAAATAATTAGTATAATTCTGACATTTTCGCAATAGAAAACACCGTAACGCACTAAAAAGACAGCAATGTAATATTGCTTTAGGCACACAGCGCTCGCCTAAGCGGCGCTGCTAAAGCCGATGGCCAGGATAAGCCCGAGTTTACAGCCGACACAATGCCACACAGTGCGGCTAGCGGGCTAGCTGCGCATTTAGCCGAGCGGCCGCCTCGCCCCCTCATCCGCACCGCAAGCCTGGGGGAGCCGGCGAGCGCGGCAGCCGCCAGACAGACGCGACAGCCAGAGAGCCGTACAGTGCTCGCAAGATTGCCGTTTGGCTTAGCCGAAGGAAGGCGCCATTTTGGAAACACAAGCCAGTCTGGGGGATTTTTTTCTTTCCAAAATAAGTCGGCTAGTTCAGCTTCGCGGTTTATTCCATCGTTCACTCGCTAGCTAGACGCAGTTAGTTAGCTGCGCGAATAAGTCGTCTAGGCGGGCGTGGTATATAGGCAGAAGAAATGGCTTTAACCAGCATGGAATAATTACATTATTAACTACCCAAAACCCGAGCAGAGACTGAAATACTGATCTGTTTACAGCTCTGGAAAACGAGGGCTCTTCCCAAGCCTTCACCCGCTAGCTAGCTACGGCCTATGTGATGCTTCTCATTAGCGCGTTAGCTACATTGCGAGGTACAACGGACAAAGATGGGCTGTCAGCTCCATCAACTAACTTACTTTACCTGACGACAACGCGAAAACTGTATTCAAAGATTCCCAAGACAGTGGGGGAAATAATAGGACTGCGGCAGTTTATTATTGTCACACAGATTATTTCATCAGACCTGATCACGTCTCCTCCTTTTCTTTTTCTCGCAACTTCCCCCTTTAGAACCAAAACACTCTCCGACACTTCCGCCCCTCAGTTGCGCGTCACCGGCCACTTCCGCCCCCCATTTGACGTTCTCGAGCCATTTCCGCCCCGCAAAATACACATCGGAAAGGGATGCTTTACGTGAACGTACGTGATGTTAGATTTCAATTGCAGAAACGTGTCGCTCATGCCGTATTCCCGTGTCATTCAGCAAACTGTCAGATTACCATAAACGACCTCTACGGGGTGCGAGGGTTTACATCCATCATTTAAGCACTAATCTTGTTCAGAGTCGCTGGGGACGCCCGGACAGGACGCCAGTTTAATATAGGGAGCATATAGACGCTTTGGGCAATTTTGAGACCCACATTCTGACCTCGATTAACCATATGGGCATTTGGGCCCGTGCCCAGGGGCGGCACGTACTCGGGGGGCACCAAGCAGAGCAACTACCCAGCAGCCGCCATCTAATTCACGAGTGTCTTTTAACCAGTTAATGCGATTTTATATTATATATATTTAATATGATTGTATATGGTTCTCGTAATACGGCACTCACTATGTAACGTTTCCCGTATTTCTGAATTTCGTGTGTTCCATATCTTTCTGACGTGATGTCACACGAAGGGTAAATTAACGTGTTGCTGCTTATGGTAGTTAGCGAGCTCCAATTAACATGGACTACGGAGCTCCACAAGGGATATTGGGGGGGAATCGACGGTTGGAAAAAAATGATAGACTTTTGCGAGATCTCCCAATAGATTTATGTCACTATTAATAATAACTGTATCCGCTTAAAGTACAAAAGATTTAATTGATGGATAAATAAGTATAAACCTAAATGATGTAGACATGAGAGTGTTTTAAGCATTACTAAGTGGGGGACAATGCACACCATATATAACATATATTTTGTGTCTTTTTACATACTAATAAATGCACAGTGTCCATTCACTGTCAGTGACTGTAAGCAGGACCGCTAGGCTAGGCTTACGCGAAGTGTGGAAATAGGGCTGCCTTGCAAGATGTGCCAGCAATGGCACTTAATACTCATAATGTCGTCCGACTCGTCCAGCACCAAGGGCGCAGGAGAAGATTTTTGAAGGGGGGGCCAAACAGAGAGCAAAAGGTCTCAGCTTGATGTAACTCTGCATGTGTGGCATTACAATTAGTGGTCACATTGGACCCTTGAGTTACGACCAGCCTGACATACGAACAACTTGGGTTACGACCAAAATTTTAGTTTTGACTTACGACCTTGAGTTACAACCCGAATGCCGGTCGAAGCCAAAACGTGTATCCACTTGTGTGGTTATAAACAAAGACCAAAGATGCTCGAGAGACGTTCTTGAGCGTCAGTCAGAGCCCAGATATGCATGTTTGTGGACGTAATTTCGGTCAGTGCAGTGCTTTATATAATTAATTTTGCTAATTGCTATCAAAATGACCACAAAAAGCTAAAAATGAAGCTAAGGAAGAGAAGGTAAAGAAAGCAATCACAATCGAAAAGAAGGAAACTGTGCAGAAATATGAGAGTGGCGTTCGTGTGACCGATCTCGCTAATACGTACAGCATGTCGAAATCCACCTTCTTGACAATCTCGACTCTCCTTCCAGACAATAACCACCTTCCATTTCATCCTCCCCCTCCTCTCTTCCTGCAAGCCAAAGATGTCAACTTGAATGGTGAGTAAAGTATGAAATTGTGGTTTCTGGAAGGCTGGGCACGTTTTGTATCTTTTTGGTGAGTACACTAGGAAAATTATTGGTATTTCTGGTAAATTACACACATTATCCAACCCTTTTTTATTATGAAAAGGTTATGTAAGGGGTGCTTTGGGAGGTTCTGAATGCATTATGGGTATTTCCATTATTTCTTATGGGAAAAATAGACTTGACTTACGACCAACTTTAGCTACGACCAGCCCTTGCGAATGAATCGAGTTTGTAAGTTCAAGGGTCCACTGTATTTCTGTTAATACTGTCAAATAATTCTTCTGAATCACTTACCTCAATGATGCTACGTACAACAATAATTTTGCACTCTTTATAAACATTTCAATTCTTCCAAAACTTGTCTTTTTACTGTATGTGCAGTTTAATATTGAGCATTTACGCATGCATTTTAGACAAGGTAGATTAGCATTTTAATAGAATGCCTCATAATGATGAAATATTTAATATTTTACTTCAATTAATACCATAATGATATACTGATAGAAAAAACAAACATGTTCAGGTGGAACAATGTCTGATCAGGTAACCTTAAAAAATTTAAAACTTAGGTCACGGCAAGACAAAGGTCACACTTAGTTTTCTGTGTATTCCATAACACCTGAATGTGACCAGAGGCCAGGTAGAGGGTCACTTTCATGCTGCAGTCAGGCATGTCACATGTCAAACTAGTTTATGCCATTTGTTTTGGCAGACAGGCAGGACAGAAGACCATCCAAAGTCTGGTCGCCCTCTAGTGACCAAACCATAGCAATACACCAACACATCAGACTGCCCACTGTCCTCTGATATGCCTGGCAGTTAACTGTGACTTTATGCCTCTGACAGTGCAATTTACATGTTCTCCCTATTTTTTTTCCCACATTCCAAATACATGATTCCAGTCTATGACAGGGCAGGATGTCAAGTAACACTAGATAAATGTGTTTTTCAGAAACTCAAACTGTGGCTGAAATGCACTACCCTGGGGAGTCTAAGGTATTTTCCGGATGACGTTACAGGTACATTATCACTCACTTATTACTTCTGTACTGTTAAACTTTGGTCTAAGCCTGGGTTCTTCAAATCTGGACCTCGATTCCAAATCCAGGCCTTGTTTTCAGTTCTCCCAGGCAGCTAGTTTAATAATCACTGATTCTGATTGGTCAGAGGCTTCACACCTGACTGACAGGTAAAGGAAGGCTGGAAAACCAGCAGGGCTCGGACCTGAGGACCGTGAGTTGAATAACCCTGGTCTAAGCTTTTCTTTTTTGTTTTTTAACGACTGCTGAATTCCAGTTAATTTAGTGTCTTTATAACATGGCAGGTCCAAGCTATTTTGAGCGGAACAGAAGCAGCGATTCCCGGTGAGGCACAGCTAAGGAGACGGGAGTGTGGAGGTGGCAGAAAACGCTCTGCCTCTTTCCCAAAAACGTCCCGCGGAGATGTTTTCCACAGTAGCCGTCCTCTGCTTCGATGTCAGGTGGCTTCATCACAGCATCTGGGATCGATTTCTGGGAGGAGTCCCCGTGTGTGTGACAGGAAGTGGCAGGAAGTGTCCCAGACAGGAAGTGGCAGGAAGTCTCCCAGACAGGAAGTGGCAGGAAGTCTCCCAGCAGACAGGTTCCTCACCGTTATCTCCGGCTTCACCTCCTTTTCTTGTGTCACATCCCCGTCACCGTGAGAAGATGCCAGACAAGTTGTTCAGTAAATACCTCTGTCCACAAGAGAACCTCTATGCAAACAGTCCACCAGAGAGGGACACAGCCTTCATGGGAATGGGAAGCCCTGAGCATAAAGCAGATGTCTGGGGTTCAATTAAAAATAAATGAACATTATCAGTCTATGATATGTATCTGTTCATGTTGATTGTATCACTGCTCTCAGTTCATGGACCTGCAGAAAACTGTGGAAATAAGCCATGATATAAATTGTTGTACATTAATGATAAATAAATGTGATCATCCTGCTTTCCAGTCCTATTATTGAAAATGCTATTATTTCTGACTGACAGAATTACTTTATAGGACTACTCACTTTTGGCTGGTGACTAGTCTTTAAAGATATTTTAAGCAATAATAATACAGTGAATGGTACCTCCTGCCAGGTGACCTCATCATGTATCAGCAGGGCCAGCCCTGGGTGTTCTGGCGCCCTCGGCGAGATTCTGCGCAACGCCCCATTTCGGGAGCACGGGGTATTTGGCTGGTAACTAGCTAGCTGGCATCTGTTTTACAAGTAAAGTAGTAAAATACTAAAACTAAGTGTAAAAAACCGTAATGTCACGGAATACAACCAAAAATATTCCTTCTGTTTTTTTTTGTCACGTGCTCTTTTGCGCCCCCTAATCAAATGGCGCCCTACACGATCGCCGGCCGGCCCTGTATGTCAAATCTGTTTCTTAATCTTATCGTCATAAGAAAAGATTTCTTACAGGCAAACGTTTATTTGTTGTTCAAGCCGAGCTACCTGAGATAGGCTCCGCCCCCACGACTCTGACTAGAATAATTAATTGAAAGATTGATGAAAGGGTTGAAATTCAACCCGTTCATGCGTCCTGAGTACACTTTACACCGTATTCGATAGGGGGAGCGCTAACACTACTTTTTGCATTAATATAGTACGCTGTAAAACAGCATACATTGGATTAATGGGGAAATAATACATGAAATAGTAGTGCAATCCACGCTAGCTGTTCTGTTGAAACACAGCTTACTATTTAAAGTGTTTCTTTAATGTTTACACATGCCTGAATTGCAATTTTTACGTGCACTTTGTTTAACAGGAACAAAAATGCTCTTACCCAGTGAAGTGAAAGAAAAAATGAGAATACATTATTTTGTACGGTTTAGAAGCGATTTTCTGAACGATTTGAAAGGCTAGAGAGCAAGAAATTGTACGCTTTTAGGCCTGTAAACTGTCTACTTGGAATAAACAGCTCTGCACATCTGTTCTTACGTAAGCAGCAGCTTTAAGGATAAGATGAGAGACTTTAGAAACCATCAGCAACATTATAAATTGAAAAAGCAGCTGCCAAACTTTCCAGAGAGCACGGTAAACACTGTTCTCCAGAAACTAGCGGTTGCATAACAAAGCATTGTTTTCCTTTCCGCAAAGGTGGTCATGAATGTTAATGCTGCGTGGCCACAATGTGTCACTTCATCGGTTACCTTTCGCTCCGTGACTTTGCATGCGCCTGCCTTTGTTTGATGTGGCACGGCACCGATCGGCCTGCTTTTCATTTTACATTTTGTTTGCTAGCCGATGATTGAGTCTGTACACATAATGCAGTCAGTTGCTCATCCCAAGCGTTGGGGCGGCACTGAAACCTTACCTGATTACAAATCCGCAAGCCACCAGAGTGCCAGTTGTCCCCTTGGCGCGTCTGACTGCTTTTGATTAGCGTCGCGGATGTAAATGAAAAAGGACAGAGCGAGATCCATAATTACGGAGCTTGAGAGTAATGATGACCAAGGGTTTCCTTAGCACCCGCTGCTGAGCTCAGGGGCTTGACAGACCTTTCCATCGTTATAGATATTAACTAGGATAATATAGCGAACCCGCTGGTGCATTTTATTACAATCGCGTGGGAGTAGAGAAGAGTAATTAATAAGATGAATTACAATTGCTTTAGCACTTTGGCTTTTTTTAATTGGAATCGTTTGTGTGCGAGGCAAAGAAATGTATAACGAGACGAAACGAGGAAACCTTTAATGAAGATTGAATCGGTGGCTTAGCTATAGAGCAGGCTTGTGTGGTGACAAAACTTATACACATAATTATTTTTTTTGACTGTAATTTGCCGCCCATGCCAAGCCTACGAAAGTTAGTAAATTTGTTTATAATGTATGTGGGTTTATAACATAAACATATAGATACATTGCCAGTTTATGAAAAACGATTCTTAGAGAGACTGGATCATACTGATGGTGGCCCGGAACTTCAAGCCTTCGAAACGTGTCAGCTTAATTGTCAAAGAGGCCTGACTGGCGCCAATGTCATATACTGTAGTGTTACTGGAGCTTTTTGGCTCTATTGTATTTCTGATATAGTGAGAGCTGAAAATTTTGGCGACCCAAAACACCAAAGCACAGAACCGGCCACAGGAAGAGATGATATTTCTATACAAATCGATATAAACCATGCATGTAGCCTATACTTATTTTCACAAATCCCATTGTCATATGCCTGAAATATTTAAAAATCGATTTCTCGTTTTCGCATCAGTCTCTTAATTCTACCAAATTTCTAACTAAGTCTCTCTGACTTCCTCCCCTTCTCCTGCAAGGAACCCCGTTCCTCGCATCCATTTTAAAATCCACAATCAACACCAAAAAATTACATTCTGTGTGTCTTCAGTGCCAGCCTCCTCTTCTAGAAGACTATAAACTGGGAATGCCGTGTGACATCGAAGCTTTGTCAGGACAGAAAGCACCACGGCAAAATATTCGATTTGCTCTTTCATCCAGTTAAATGCCTTTCGGGATTTAATATGATAAATAGCCGTTAAATGATTAGCGCGTTAGTGCTGCTCATTTTGAGGACCTGTACACTGAAAAAGCGGCACCTGCATGGTTTTGGCCTTGGAAACAGCGTAAAGTATTTATGAGACTGGGGCTAATGATGCTTTTGCAGCATAACAAGAGAACCAGCCAACTGTGTGTGTGTGTGTGTGTGTGTGTGTGTGTGTGTAAAGTCCTGGTGGTCATGGAGACCAAAGGAAATGTGACAGGCTGCCTGTTTAAACTGCAGCATCCGTAGGATGTTGTTCCCACGGTGGGGCATCTTGGCAACAATGGAATAAGTGGAATTAATGCAGTCGGGGGTGTTGGCCTGTCCGGCATCACCTCTGCCCGGACGCTCTGGCAGCGAGGGCCCAGCGTGCATCTGCTCTGTCCCTGTCTACCGAACCCCTGACTTGATGCAGATAGACAGTGGCGGCCCGTCGGCATGGGGTCTGCACTCCTGTCAAAATGCCCAGGTGCATTATGGGTCAAGTCATAACTATGCCATTGTATGTTTCTGAATGCGGTGGTAATTTAGTCCATTTATGGGGTAGGTGAATGGATGGATGGATGGATGCAAGGATGGAAGTATAAAAACAAATAAAAAGTTTAAGAAATGCCTGGATAATAAATCCCAGCATGCACCTTTGTCCTCCAAGACGAAGTTAGAGAGCCGGACCCCCCCGGGGTCCATCATGTACTCAGTTGGATTATTATTAATGCAACCGGACCGACTTACATCTATATCAGAGACCACCTGCTTATCATAACACATTGCTGGGTCACGAAAGGCTGGAGCAGCTATTTAGCTGTGTAAACATGGCCAATTTAAGGGGAAAAGTGTCTACTGAGAAAATATGAGCGCGACCCAAAGGCTCCATTCAGGTCAATTAGACAAGGCAGCCCCCCCTCTTCCTGGCACCTCCGGCATTCCTGCTCCCCTCTCCTCCTCACAGCGGGAAGACCTCATCGTTAGGCCTACAGATCCTCGGCTCGTCGGCAGCGCTAACGAGGGAGCCGTGCGGATTGAGACGTCACGCACGAGGTGAATCGAGACCCGCGCCGCTTTAATATCCTCCGGGGCTTAATTACGCCGGCAGTTTCCATTTTCCGGCGGAGTGATTAGGAAGAAGCCACCCGCCTTTCCACACGCCTCGCTCTTCGCCGAGGAAGCAGCGCATACACACACCGCATTAAGTGGCGGGATCACGACAGAGTCACATGACCTGAACACGTCACATGAACACTTCATCATAGTCAGGGTAATTCCCCACTCCGGGTGGGAGCTGTGCCTTCCCCCCCCCCCATCTCGGCCACTAAACAGCTCTCATCATATCACGTTTGAGGCCAAGATGTGATGCCATTGATCACCAGTGTCCTGAGGCTACAAAGATCAACATTTACACTCCCCCCCCCCCTCCTGTACAGTCGGCACAACAGCAACCAATCAGAGACCGGCTGTGGGTTTCATTATGTTGCCTGTGAAAGAGTCAGCTTGGTTTGAGAAACTGGGGGGTGGGATGAACTACGCAACACAGAACAATTATCCAGACAAACCAACAGGACACCAGTTTAGCTGGGAGGGGGGCAACTGAGGAGGGCATTTTGCAGCTTAGGCAGTGAGGGCTGAACGGCAGAAGAAGGTAGGAGAAAAACTGCAGAAGCCTGTGCAGCCACCTGCCTAA